ATATATACACTTACATTACATACAGCCTGGGTAGCTGGCAGGCTGGTAGGTGTGTAGGCTGGTGTGTGCATTCCCTGTGATGTCCATTAATGACAAAGTGACCTAATGACATGTTATTCAGCATGTGTCCTCGTGTTTAAGAGATACATGACTGACTGTAAGTGTAAAGATACAAACAGAATAGTACCGTGAGCCTCCCCACACTGCTCAGCTTCAACCACACAGCTTTACCCTCCTCCACCTCCCCTTTCTTCACCCATCTTAGAAAGCCTCTGATTCATCTTGTTTCAGCAGAGACAATTGTTCAAGAAGTTAAGTTGTGAAGGTAAAGTAAGAACCATGTGATGACTGTGGGGAGACATACGTGGGAGCGTGTGAGGTGTGGGAGATGCTGAAGGAAGTTGAACTTATGAGGAGATGGACCTGAGGAGTGTGGCTTAAATCATAGAGGCATCTCCTTTATGTACAAGAGAGAGGTTGGTCCCTATGCTTGTGAGTAGCCAGTTAAGGAAGTCCTTGTTTGCTTGTTTGTTTCTTTTTTCTATTAAACCAGAGAGGTCAAGTGAGAAGGGTGAAGGGGATGCTCATGCTTTAGGGGCTCAAGGAAAGTGGCAACAGTTATCATGGTGCGAGGAGGACTGTACTAGAGCAGTGTTGGAATGTGGGATGTCCTGAAGACCACTGGAATTGGGTGAATTCCAGTAAATCTACTCAGTCTGGTTGTTTGACATTTCTTTCCCTCTAGTAGTTCATGTTTGTCTGGGTGAGATGTTCAGAAGAGGTAGAGAATTTAGTTTGTAATGGGCTCATTTTTTTCCCAGGTGGTATGTCCAAGGGACGGGGTAATGGGGCTGGAAGGATAACTGAAATTGTCACCTTTAGACCCTAAGCTGAGTAAGAAAGTATAGTAGTTATGTTTGCATTGCTATGCCCAAGATTTCGAAGAATGGCATAAAGGGAGGAGTTATTTATTTTGGCACCATTTCAGCGGTGTCAGCGCATTGTGATGTGCAGGGTGTGGTTGAGCAGAACACTTCATATCATGGCTGCCAGAAAGCAAAGAAAAGGGAACATGGGAAACAGCCAGGACAAAATGACCTACTTTCTCCAGCTAGGCCCTATCTCCTAAATTCTAGAACTTCCTAAAATAGTGTCACCAGCTAGGGACCAAGCCCTCAACACATTAGTTTGTGGGTGACTCTTCATATCGAAACTGGTCCAGTTCTAGTACAGTGTAGTGTGTCCATTGTGGGAGACTAAGAAACAGCTGATAGAGCTGTGCTTGGGTGGACAGTGGGTGACTGGAGTTGAATAAAATAGAGTAGAATAAAAGAGTTAAAAAACAGGATGTCAAGTTGTGAGCCAGTGGCTCTGCCATGTGGCTCATCCTCATGGGCACCAAAACCACCAAGGATGATGGCAAAGAGCTAAGGTTTAAAGGTGAGTCCTTCAGGACTCGGAGACAGCTGAGGTGAGAAGAAGAGAAGGAGTTTTTACAAGGAAAGGCCATCGAATTCAGAAAGGGGAATGTTAGATAGGACGGTAAAGGTATATATGCCCACCTTCCTCTCATCGCCCTTTCACACTGTCCTGCATGAGAGTGAACAAGCTTGAACTGAGGGGTGGTGAGGAGGTGTTGACCTCAGGGAAGAGCCAGGTCTCACATAAGACATGGTTAGCTCCATGGTTAGCTAACTGAAGTCCCTTCCACTCCATGCTGTGTGGTGGTCCCCCCAGCATCCTGTGACTGCCCCAGGGTCTCCATTCTTAGTATAAGTCCTCTTCATCACTTCCACTCTCTCCTCAGATGGCAAAATTAATACTAAGACAGGCAAGAGCATAATCTAAGCATTAACAACTAGCAAAAATGTATTAACTTCAGTATCCTGCCTCCTTTCATAAAGATATAGTGAGATCTAGCTCTACCTGCTATATTTCTTGTATCTGACATTTATCCTGATCTCCATGCCATATATCCTAATTTTGCCTGAAAAATGGGTATCAGTCTATTTAATACCCATTATTTACATTGATTTATGATTGAGAAGTAACTTCAATAAATATTTCAGTGATATTTTTCAACTGGTCAAAATGCAGAGAATAAGTAACTGTGAGGTGCCCAGCCCCAATCAGTATATCTATAACACAGCCACTACATCTAAGCTTCAGGGAACATCCCCAAACAGGGGGCAGAGAGAGTGTAAGAGAGTGTAAGAGGCAGGATACACCTGCTGCTAGATGGTGTCTTCTAGGCATGACAGGGAAACTACACTCTTGAAATCTCAACAATATGGTTGCTTAAACAAGATCTACATAATGACAATGCCAGTTGATATGCTGACCTGGATGGGGGAGATTTTATAGGGCCCTTCCCCTGATAAAGAGCTATAGGCAATCACTGGCTGCTGAGAGAGGGAGATTCAGTTTTCTGCAGGGAGCCTCCTGATGGTTATCCACTCCCAAGTGGTCAGCCATAAATATATACATCAGAGCAACACTAAATGGACTCAGTAGATTGTACATTTGTGTATCTATCTATCTATCTATCTATCTATCTATCTATCATCTATCTATCTAACAATAATTAAAGAAGAGGTCATGAATTTGAGAGGGAGGGGGGGAGGACACTGGAAGAATTGGAGGGAAGAGAGGGGAGGGGGGAATGATGTAAATATAATACTCATGTATGAAATTCTCAAAAAATAAAAAAATTAAAAAACAAATTTCAGTGATTTTTGTCTGTATCTTGAACTCCTGCTATAATTTGATCTGTTATTTCAAAAGTTCACCCTTAAAAATGGGGTCAAAATATTGTGAAGGCAGCGACCCCCTCTTTCACAAACACTGAAGAGAAGATTCTTGACTTGTTCACACATGAACATTGAGCCCTGTCTCAGATGACAGACAGGTTAAGGAGCCTAAAATGATGACCCAGTATAAAGGACATAGGAAGCACATGGAAACAACAGATCAGGGGAATAAGTGGAGGGGTGTGCCGTTCTGCTGCTCTCTTTGCTTAGGTTTTGGTTGTTTTGCACTTAATGTTTGCTTGGTGGCACGTGGCCATTTTGACTGGTTCTCAACTGGGGCTTCGTGCCCATTTGCCCTGTGGGAGGAAAGGCTTATTATATGAGCCAAGATTATACAGCATTACAAATATTTTCTTTTAAGATTTATTTTATTATTTATGTGGTTTGTGAGTGTCTGTGCACATGTGTGCAGGTGCTTGCAGAGGCCTACGGTAAGGGTAATGGTGCTGGAGTTACAATTGGTTGTGAGCTGCCTGATATGGTACTGTAACTGTACTTGGGTCCTCTGCAGGAGCAGCAAGTGCTCTTAGCCACTGAGCCATCTCCAGCCCCAGTAGAATTTAAAGAAATGAAACAAAAACACCTTAAAGCCAGGTGTGGTGGCACACACTTTAATGCCAGCACAGGAAAGGCAGAGCCAAGCAGATCTCTGTGAGTTTGAGGTCAGCCAGGACTACACAGTGAGACCCTGTTTCAAAAACAAAACGAACAAATAGAACCCCTCACTTTTTCTGTTATCAGTCTCCTAGATCTTTGAATTTCTGTATCTTTCATGATACTCTGAGAATGTGAGAATGTGAAGAATGTGGAGGAACCATGTGACCAGTGGACTCTGATCCTACCCACCGTTGAGGAAGACCTCTATATCCATGGGCTCTGTACCCACAGATCAGTACAGATCAGAAATACTGAAAAAATTGCATCTGTACTGAACTCCTAGACATTTTCATCATTTTTTAAACAATACAGAATGATAATTTGCATAGCATTTATATTGCATCAGATATTATAAGTAATCTAAGAAATACAGAAAGTATACAGGAGGATGAGCATAGGTTATAAGCGACTGCTACATTTATACAAGGGAGCTGAGTTCCAGTTCCCTATAGTCTGGGGGACGACTGTACTTTCCTGACTTGAGTGAGCTTTTCCTAGTTTTATCAGACTCATTGAAATTTTGGGGAGCAGTGACCATTCACCAGTGCTTGGCCCCAGATACAGCCTCATCACTTTTAATGGGAGGCTCTGCACAGCATTTGGATAAGATGGTGCTTACCTCCTGGGTTCAGCCTCTAGTTCTACCACCTACTGACTGTGGACCTAGGACAGATTCCACAACCGGGAGCCTTAAGTTCCTTGTCTGTTAAATAAAAAATTGTAAGAGTTCTTAATTCTTTGGAGCATTGTGAGGTTAAACTACACAGTCCCTGGCACATGGAGGACCCGGGGGCTGTTAGTCCTACTGTTGGAATGTCATGAGGCTTAGCAATTTGATGTGTCTGTGAACTGCTAGTCTCCAAATCGTATCCCTCCATTATCCACATTACCTTGGACAGAGTGCTTTTTCAATAGGGCCTTCCCTGAACACTCTACTTAAAGGTACAACTGTGCAGCCTCTACCACTCATGTGCTCCTCATCCACACCATCCCTGCCATCCTTAACTCATCTTCTCCCCTACTTTTCTCCATGTGCTCACCACTTACTAGAGTATTGTCTTAACAGACTTGTATGGGACCTCCAAGAGATCAGACGTCTACATGTGTTTCTTCTCTGTTCTTATTAACGTCTGAACTTAGAGACCAGCGTGCTTCAGCAGGCATGCAGTAGATCCTTATCGGAATGAAGAAATTGACTTTGAAAGTGTTCCTGTCTTCCCATGCACTCTTTCTAAAAGCTGCCCCAGCTGTCTACAGTGATGTTTTATTCAGGAGCTCTTAGCGATCACTTGCTCATTTACTGATCTGTCTCAGACATCCTTTCCTCATGGAAGGTGACTGAAGTCACACAGAAGAGGGCTGAGGCAATGAATAAGCAGAGTGAGAAGTACAGCCATGTTACTGCTTCCCACACCTTTCAGTGTGAATGTGGCGGGGGAGATAAAGTGGCGCTTGGCTTAGTTGTGACCTCCGGTATCATCTTACTTTCTCAGCTGTTTTCATCCACAGAACTTTTGTTATGTTTTCTTTTAGGGCACCAATGCCTCTGCTCTGGAAAAAGACATTGGTCCAGAGCAGTTTCCGATCAATGAACACTACTTTGGATTGGTCAATGTAAGTATTTCTTGTTTTCATCAGACATTTTGTGGTATGTGATGTAACTCTGCTGCCTTTTTTGTTTTTGTTTTTATTTTGTGAAACAAGATCTTGCTATGTACTTCTGGTTGGCCTGGAACTCATTATGTAGACCAGACTGGTCTTGAACTTGCAGTGATCCTCCTGCCTCTGCCTCCTGAGTGCTGGGATTACAGGCACATATACCATTCCCAGTTTTCTGCTACCATTTCCATCATTACTAATGTTTTAAGTTTTTAAACAACTTTTTGAGGGAGTGGAGAGATAGCTCAGTGGTTAAGAGCACTGGCTGCTCTTGCAGGGGATCCGGGTTTGGTTCCCAGCACCCACATGGTGGCTAACAACTGTCTGTAACTCCAGTTGCAGGGAATCTTATGCCCTTTTACTGGCTTCTGCAGGGCATTGCATGTATGTGGTGCATTTACATACATGCAGGCAAAACACTCATATACATAAAATTAAAACATTAAAAAAACTTTTTTGATTTATTTTTATTATGTGTATGAATGTTTTGCCTACATGTATTTAAGTGCACCCATGTCATTCAGTGCCCACAGAAGTCTGAAGAGGGTGTCAGATTCCCTAGATCTGGAAATATGGATAGTTGTTAGCCATCATGTGGCTGCTGGGAATTGAACCTGAGTCTGCAAGAGCAGCCAGTGCTCTTAACTACTGGGCCACCTCTCCAGTTCCTTTATTATTATTTTAAATTAACTGTTCATGGCCTTAGTGGAGAAGGGCATTTTAATCTATTTTTTTAAAACATGTTAGTTGTGCCCCCAAAGGACTTAATTACTATTACTACATTGTTGGTTGGATTCCTTTCCCCTCCCCTGCATGCTTTATGGAATTCCCTTTGTGCACATTGCTTTCATAGTGGTTTGGGTAGCCTTTGTAGCCAGGTCTGCTTTGATCTGTACTCCCTCTTTTATAGGTTGAACTTTTCTGGCAGTCTTTGCTTTGGTATGGATCAATACAACTAGAGCTTGCTTTCCCTTCCCTTCCTCCCTCCCTCCCTCCCTTCCTTCCTTCCTTCTTTTGTTCTTTCGTTCTTTCATTCTTCGTTCTTTCTTTTGGTCTTATTGAGACAGGGTCTCCCTATAGCCCCAGCTGACCCAGAACTTGCTATGTAGACCAGGCTGGCCTCGAACTCAGAGATATGCCTGCCTCTGCCTCCAGAGTGGTGGAATTAAAGGCATGCACCACCATGCCTGGTGTAGCTAGAGTTTTCTAAAGTGATACCAACTGGTCACCTGTACCTGGCTAATGGTATAACTTAGTAGAGGTACCCAGAGGTAGGGGTGGGCTATGAGGTGAGGACCAGGACTCATTTTTCATAGGTTCCACTTTCCCTGTGCTCAGCAGCACCCCCTTATTATCTGGCTCTGCTTCCTTAACAGACAGGTGGTAAGGCAGTGCTACCCATCCACTCTTTGAGCTTTCTGCCTCACCATAGCCTCTTTCTATAGAATGGAAGTTTTAGGTGATATCAGCATTAACTCATAGGCACACGGATTTCTGGAACAGCTGCTCTGCCAGTGCCCTGCTGTGAAGTGTACTAGGGGAAGCTGGGCATTTTCTCCACATGTAAATGCTGCTTCAGATAAAAAGGAAAGAGCTACATATGAATTCTGCCTGTTCTGTTACCTAGCAGTGTGCTCTATAGCAAGTCACCTGCCCTTTCTGGGCCTGTATTTCCACATCTGTTAAATGGGAGTTTGTAATGGTTTCTCCCTCTTTGGAAAATGATGAATAGAGCTCCATGTGAGGCCCTGATAGGAGGCTGAGGCATGTTGTGGACACTTAGCAACTTTTCCCTTTTTCCCTTTTATTTTCCCTGAGTTGTTTACTAGATGATCAGGCCAGTTGTGGGAGTAGCTGGGTAAAGCTGAGATACTGAGGAACAGAGAGAAGACTGGACAGAGGAAGGCTACACAAAGCATTGGAAATATAGGGCACTGTGTTGGCAAAACACTGGCTTCTAATTTTAATGCAGTTTATTTTAGCCACGTTGGGCAGGCTTCTGTTTAGCTCTCTGAAGCCAGTTATTCAAACCATGGATTTCGTCTCGGCTAAGGAAAATAGAATTGCAGGCTATGGAGAAAAGAATTAAGACCATTGCTTAGCTAGTAGAAGAGTTATGAAAGCTGTATTTATTAATAACTTCATTTATGGTCCTTTAAATGGTAATTTATGAAGGTGCCTCTATATAAAATGGTTGGTCTCCTGTTACATAATCAGTTGAAGCATCTTAAAATACACAGGACAAGAAAATGTTCTGCTCAGCATACCTCAAGATGTCACATAAGTATGGCAGAGCATCCGTTTCATGCTTGGGAAGATTCCACAGGCCAAGAACCCATTCTGAGAAGGTGTCCATGTTCTATTTTTTTAAAAAATATTTTATTATTATTATTATTTTTTTAATGTGTATGCGTGTATTGTCTGCATGTAGGTAAGTGCACCTGTGTCCTGCAGTGCCCATGGAGGACAAAAGAGGCTGTTGGATCCCCTGGAACTGGAGTTATGGACAGTTGTTAGCTGCCATGTGGGTGCTGGGATTTGAACCTGGGTCTTCTGCAAGAACATTCACTGTTCTTAACTGCTGAGCCATCTCTCCAGCCCCCCATGTTCTATTTTGATCATCTACAGCTCTTTGTAATCTTAATGATTAATCACTTTGTGATTAATCTTGAAATTTTCATTTTTTTGGAATTTTTTTCCTGTTCATTTTACCGAATAGGAACAATTCTAAAATGCAGGTCTCAGTGGTGTCCTTCTACAGAAACTCAGAAGTCAGAGAGATAATGACTTTTCCCTCTACAGTTATAATCTCGGTGCCTATGACCTGAAGAAGATAGTGTTACTTTGTGGGCTCTACTTTTATTGTAAGAGACCAGGGACTTGGGATAGTTGCCACCTTGGAAGAAACAGAGGCAGGGTAATTTAGAAGGTAAAACAGGGAAACTGGGAGGGGAGCTTAGGGAGACATATTTTTCCTCCATTGTGTCAGGGGAGGTGAAACTTTGGACTCTGAGGCAGTGGGCAAAGCTACTGAAATCTTGCAAAACAAAAACAAATTCTGCTCCTTAAAGGTTATTTCAGCTGAGCAAGTAGTTCCTAGCTTCTAGCTCAATTAGTTCTTTCCTTCCTTCCTTCCTTCCTTCCTTCCTTCCTTCCTTCCTCCCTCCCTCCCCCCCCTTCCTTCCTTCTTCCACTGAGCTACATCCCTAGCCCCCTCAATTTCTTTTTGATATGGATGTTTATTTTTACAGTCATGGGAGGTTTTTTTGTTTGTTTGTTTTTTATAATCAGGTTTAAAAATATTTATTATTTTTATTTTATTTGTATGATTGTACTGCTTGCATGTGTTTAAGTGCACCTGTGTCCTGTAGTGCTCACAGAGGTCAGAAGCCGGCATCAGATTCCCCTGGGACTGGAGTTATAGACAGTTGTTAGCTGCCATGTGGGTACAAGGAATCGAGCCCAGATCCTCTGCAAGAGCAGTCAGTGCTCTTAACTGCAGAGCCATCTCTCCAGCCCCAATCGGAGGGGTTTTTTGAGACATGATTTCACTCTGTAGCTCAAACTGGCCTTGAACTCATTATGTAGTCCAAACCGGCCTTGCAGTGACCCTCCTGCCTTAGCCTCTGAAGGGCTGGAAGCACAGGTGCTCATCACCAGGCCTGCAGTTGTAAGAGTTTTGTTTTTTGTTTTTTGTTTTTGTTGTTGTTGTTGTTGTTGTTGTTGTTTTTGTAGTGCAATCTGGCATCTTTTATTTAGCCAGCTGCTTTTCTGAGTTTCCATATTACGTAGATTTTTCTTCGTTTCTATGCACCAGAAGGTCTCATTATACTCCTAACCTGTTAAAGTGTATATTGTCATTTTACAGACCTTTATGGATCAGAAAAGCATGAGACTTATGTGTAGTAGTCCCTCCATCTGTGGATGGTATCCAGGACCTCCTAAAGGATACCTAAAACTGTGGAAAGCAACAAATCTTATATAGAGCATGCTTTTCATATACATGCACACCTATAATAATGATTTTTTTATGTTAGATACAACAAGAAATTAATACCGATCACCAATAAGTAAGTTCAAATAAAATAGGACAGTTAAAGTATCCAGTATTAGTTTGTTTCTTAACACTAGCTTAGGCCACTGTTAAATAACATAAGGGTTACTTGAACACAAACATTGTGACACTGTGACAATAGATGTGAAACCTAGATGTTGACTAAGTGGCTAGTGGGCAGGTAACATATGCAATGTGGTTATGCTGATGAAGGGATGATTCATGTCTCAGGAAGGATTGTGTAGGATGGTGTGAGATTTCAGTACACTGCTCAGAATGATGCACAATTGAAAATGTATATAGTTATTTCTGGTATTTTCTATTTAATGTTCTTAGACTGTGGATAACAGTTCATAACTGAAAGCATGGAAAGCAAAATTTCAGCTAAGGGGAGATGACTGTGTATTTTGATTCCCTCCCCTGCTGATTGGACAATCACTGACTTTCTAAGATGGCAAGCTGGGCTCTGATACTGGGAAGTTGGTTGGGCAGGTTCATGGATCCTGTCTGTCTCCCTCTCCTGGCTTGTTCCCAAGGTGGCCTATCCCATACAGTGATTCAAGCTACCCCTCTTGTTCTTTGACAGTTTGGAAACACATGCTACTGTAACTCCGTGCTTCAGGCATTGTATTTCTGCCGGCCATTCCGGGAGAATGTGTTGGCATACAAGGCCCAGCAAAAAAAGAAGGAAAACTTGTTGACGTGCCTGGCAGACCTTTTCCACAGCATTGCCACACAGAAGAAGAAGGTTGGCGTCATCCCACCAAAGAAGTTCATTTCAAGGCTGAGGAAAGAGAACGGTGAGTGATGTGGCCACAGTGGGTTGGGGCTCTGAAATGAGGAAAACTGGCAGTTACAGGTATTCCTAAATTGGAAAGCTTGTTTGTTTTGTTTTGTTTGTTTGTTTTGTTTGCGACAGGGTATCACTCTGTAGACTAGACTGACCTGGAACTCACAGATATCCACTTGTCTCTGCTTCTCAAATGCTGAGATTTAAGGTGTATGCCACCACACCAGGCAGTTTTTGTTTGTTTATAAAAATATTTTTATTAATTTAAGAATTTCAGGCAATGTATTTTGATCATATTAAGACTCCCCTCCCCCTCCCCCGTCCTTACTATCCCCCCTCAACTTCATGTTCTCTATTATTGTCTTTTTTTGATAATTTCATACACGAGTATTATATTTGCATTATTTCATCACCCATGTCCATTCACTCCCTCTCAATTTCTTGTCCTCGTCTCTATTATTGTTATATATACATACATATGTACATTATATATATACACACATCCTATATCTATACACACATCATATATATATATATATATATATATGTATATAATGCACTAAGTCCATTAGTGGTACTTGTGTATACCTGTGTTTAGGACTGCCCACATGGGATTAGATAACCTTTCAGTGAGCTAGTTCCTGGAGAAAGCTACTTCTCCTTCCCTCCACATCTATTTATTGCCTGTAGCTCTTCATCTTGAGGTAGAACTCCGTGAAATTTCTCCTATCCATCTTGGTGTGTCAACTGGTTTTGTCATTATGCAGATTTTTTTTAGACTACCATACAATGGTGATTTCATTGGTGCAACTTTCTTATCATGTCTAAATGCATTAGCGAGTAGCAGGTGTCTTGTTGTTTTGTCTCTTACATTCTTTCTAGACCCTTTTTCTCAATGTTCCTTGAGCCTTAGGTGTAGAGATAGTATTGTAGGGCTGGGCACCTTACAGTCATTTATTCTCTGCATTTGACCAGTTGGGGAACTTTGTAATAGTCTCTCCATCTGTTGCAAAAAGAAACTTCTTTGATGAGTGGTGGGAGGCACACTTGTCTGTAAATACAAGGACGCATATTTAGAATGTAGTAAGGATTACTTTGGTTTAGGAAAGAAATAGAAGTAGGTTCTTTTGTAGGGTCATGACCTCTCTAGCCATGTGTACTTGGCCATATTTATAGTACCACACATGAATTCCCTCCCATTGAATGGGTCTTAAGTCCAATTAGACAGCTGTTGATAACACCAAGATAAACGTGTGAACTACAACAATGACTGGTCAGGCAGTTTTGTTTTGTTTTAAAAAGGGGAAAATAAGTATGGTTAACTCTAAGAGCCATTTTTAAAGAAAAGACACTTTCGAGGCTGGAGAGATGACTCAGTGGTTAAGAACATGTATTGCTCTTCAGTTCCCAGCACCCGTATCAGGTGGTTCACAACCACTACAACTCCAGTTCCAGAGGACCCAACACCCTCTTCTGTCTTCTGCAGGCACCCCCACATAGGTGGCATACACTTATGCAAACACATGCACATATGTGAACAAAAATAAAATCATTTTCTTAAAAAAGAGAAATATATTTCTTCTTCCTATTAATATTAAAACAAAAAGCAGGTTAGAAATATATTTAAAGATTTAGATTTAATACCCCATTTTAGAATGATTTCTTAAAATTTTTTTTTCTGCATTCTAGGTTAAGATCATTATAAGAGAAAAAATTGCCCAAGGCAGACTTTTGAGTGGTACACTCATAGGATTAAATATGTTGATGCAATGACTGGACAGAATAGTACTATCTTATGAAGTATGATTGAGGTGAGCACACAGCACCTAATCAGGCTCTGGTACATGTGTTATGGTTTGAACATGGTATCTGCCCTGTAAGCTCATGTATGTTTAGACAATGGTTGTTTGAGTCTCAGCTGGTGGTGCTATTTTGGGAGGTTCTGGAATCTTTAGGAGGTGAGACAGCTACAGGAAGTAGATCATGAGGGAAGGAGGCATGCCTTTGAAGGTGATCCTTGGTCCCTAGTCCCTTCCTCATTCTGTGTTTCCTGTACACCATGAAGTGAACAGCTTCTGCCATACTCCTGCTGCCATGTTGTTCTGCTCAGTGGGGCTAAGCAACCATGGACTGAATCCTCTGAAACTGTGAGCTAAAAAATCAGTCCTTCCTCCTTTAAGGTTTTTGCTCAGGTATTTTGTCACAGGGCCACAATAGGTAATAATTACAATCTCTTGTTGTTATTTGCCTAAGACCATGGCAAGATACATTTTTTTTCTGTCTCCTTTTTTTTTTTTTGAATGATGGAAATGAGGTGTGTATTCCAGAAGATTTACATTGTTAATTTTTCTGACTACAGGAGTATTTGATGTAGCCACTTGTATCTGCCCTAGTGTCTTCCTTCCTTCAGTAAACTTACATGGTTAACTAGATGCTTGTTTTACAAAGTCTTGTTTAATTTGATTGCTATCTTTAGATGTTGTTATAGTTTATGTATGCTAGAATAAAAGTGACTTGAGTAGAGAGTTTATGTGTTAGAATAAAAGTCTTCAAGTAGAGAAGGAAGCTGACTGAGGAGTTGTGAACATGACTGATAATGGGGCCTCCCAGCTGCTGTTAATCGTTAATCCCTTGCTTGCTTGTCTTGACAGCAGGGGCAGCAGTAGGCTTCTGGCATTTGTGTTTGGTTTTAGAGTGCTATTAGGAGTTCACAGATAACCATCTTCCTTACGTGTTTATATAAGCTGCTTCCAGGCTGGTCTTTGGTTTAATATGGCTTTTGGGAAGACTCCAGTTATGGGAGATGGCTTAGTGATCATTGGTAGCCACATCATATTAAGAGTTGATATGTAGGGGCTCAGTAGATTAAGTGCAAGTGCTTGCCATACATGTATGAGAACTGGAGTTCAGATGCCCAGCACTCACATTAAAAAAAAAAAAAAATGGGTAGGTGTGGTGGCCTGTCTATAATCCAAGCCTTTGTAGGGTTGAGATAGAAGATCCTCTGAGCAAACTGGGTGGCTAGACAAGCCAGGTCAGTGAGGTCTGTATTTAATAAGAGACTCTGCCACAAAACATAAGGTAGAGAGCAATTGAGGAAGACACCCAGGGACAACTTGGGGTCTCCTCATGTACATGCACACAGTGTGCATGTGCACCGGCCCACACATTGTCCCCTCCCCCCATGCATGCATACCACACCCACATACATACATGAAAGAAAAAGATATCAGGGATTTTTTTCAGGTAATGTCTATTCTTCTGTAATATGAGTGAAAATTTTGGTCATTTTATATACATGACTATGAGGCAATAGGGGAAGGGAGTTCTTGGCAGGCTCAGGAAGTAGAAGGCAACAGTTCTTTGGAGAGTTACCTGTTGAAGCTGCATAGTAGAGATGAATCTGTTTATGGTCCATACCTGTCCACTCTTCCAGTGTAAAAACTGAAGCATGGCATGGAAAACTAAGCATGTCTGTTTGCTCTTCAAGAAGCAGCGTGTGAAGTCATGGCCTTCTCCTTTCCAGATCTCTTTGATAACTACATGCAGCAGGATGCTCACGAATTCTTAAATTATTTGCTAAACACTATTGCGGACATCCTGCAGGAAGAGAAGAAACAGGAAAAACAAAATGGGAAATTAAAAAATGGCAACATGAACGAGCCGGCAGAGAACAATAAACCAGAGCTCACCTGGGTCCACGAGATTTTTCAGGGAACACTCACCAACGAAACCCGATGCTTGAACTGTGAAACTGTGAGTATCGGGGGCTTGGCCCTCTTGTGTTAGTATGGCACACAGCCTTTGTTGTATGCGAGTGCAGTGCACCTTCAGTACATGTAGACGGTGCTGTTGCTTATGCCTCTGAAACTCAAATGTTTAGAAGCATGAGTCCTTGAGGTGTCTCAGCTGGCCGGAACGGAAGTTGGTGAAGGCAAGTCTTCTGAAATACTGGACTGTTTTGACCTGTGGACACATTTTAGGGCTAAAAATGGAAGGATTAAACTAGACTGTGATTGACTTAAGAAGATTCTGGTTCCAAAGAGATCAGGTATAACTTAGGGGACCGTTGCCTTTACTGAGGGGAATTTGCTGTGGTGCAGTGAACTTGAAGGCAGAGAAAGGTTGGTTGATTCGTGTTTGCACAGCACTCAGCTGCATAGATGAGGCCACTCACAGTGTTATTTTGGGAGCTGGGTAAGCTTGTGTGTCTGGAAGTGCCTGGCACATGATAGGTACCCAGAGTCAGTTGGATTTAAACTCATCTTCTCCGTGATTCAAAACGACACATTCAACATGAACTTTGTGAGTAGCTTTGAAGTTTGCTGGATAAGAGCCCAGATGCCTGTGTTTCCATGTGGCCTCTGACTCTCAAAGGCTGTTGGGACTTTGTGGTCACATCATATTCTTCCTTTCCTCTGTCTTTATCTGTAAAATGGTAGTGATAAGTACACATATCTCCTAGGTAATTGGGACGAGCAGATGAGTTGATGTTTGTAAAACACAGAGTCACACTTGACATGTAGCAAATATGCAGTGAATGTCATCTATCATTTACCCTAACTACAAAGACATAGAAAATCTGTGGCTCCTTAGGGGTCTCAGAGTTTCTCAGCCACATAGAAAAGATCTGTCTGCATTTTTCTGGGGAGAAGATCTAGTAGCTTTTATCAGAGTCTACTCAGAGCCCCTGTCTTCTGTTCAGCTGCTGTGACATGGTGTCATCATGGGTGATTTAAATCAGGGATTTTTTTTTTTTTTTTGGTCTTTTTGAGACAGGATCTCCCTGTAGCCCCAGCTGTCCTGGAACTCACTATGTAGACCAGGCTGGCCTTGAACTCACAGAGATCCACCTGCCTCTGCTTCCCAAGTGCTGGGATTAAAGGCATGTACCACCATGCCCGACTAAATCAGGGCTTTAAAAAAAAATAAAATATGCCGGCATGGTGGTGTACCCCTTTAGTCCCAGCACTTTGGAGGCAGAGGCAAGTGGATCTCTGTGAGTTCGATGCTAGCTTGGTCTACATAGGGAGTTCCAGGCCAGCTGAGGCTACAGGGAGACCCTGTCTCCAAAAAGACAATATATATTAATTCTTTGAGAATTTCATACAATGCTTTTTTTATATTCGCCCTTTACACCTCCCCTTTATAGTGTGCGTGCGCTGGGCACCCTGGTGCAGCGCAGGGATTGGTCCCCTGGTCTCAGCCGCGCGCTGTGGAAGAAGGCGGGTCCGGCCCCATGGGCTTCTCCGTGTCTCTGTGGGTCTCTGCTGCTGGAGCGTTGTCCAGCCGTATACCGCCTTAATTTCCCCCCGTGCGCTTTCCTCTTGATGCGAGATCCACTGGCCTCTGGATCACGCGGGAGAGCGCGAGGCGGCTGAAAGCTGGGATCCGTGAGCCGGTGACGAAGGAATGCTGCCTCCGGAGAGGCTGGATCGCCAGTAAGACATGGGACTCTGCTTAGTCCATGTCACAGCTTTTATTAAGTGTAGCTTCAAGTGATCCAGCTCTCTATTATTGAGAGAAGACTGGGATATTTATACCATGGGGGTAGTGGTAAAAGCTTTGGCTGATAGATACTTTGTGAGACATTCTATTTGCATATGGAAGTGGGTTTCTGCCATGCTGCCAGACTGCTGACTACCTGAAAAATCACACAGGAAAGCATGGTATTCCTAGAGCCAGAGGCCATGTTTATGTTATGGCATTTGTGGTGGGCACTTCAAAAGGAGAGTCAGGAAAAATGCCGGGAAAGCACCCTGCTATGAAAGGAGTCTCAGCACATAACTCCGAGCTCATGAGCTATCCGGATATGAAGAGACTTCTACTTCACATAACAGAGGCCCCCAACACCCCCTAACTCCTCCCTGTCCACCCCGTCAACCTCTCTTAAAAAAGGAATAAGTCACTGAGTCCAATTTGTGTTACCCATATACGCATGACTATGGAGCCATCTGTCTACTCAAGCATGGTCTACTTACAGGGCCACACCCTTAAAGAAAGCCTATTCTTCCTCCCCTAGACACCATTAACTGTCAATAACTCCTCAGTTAGGGGTGGAGGTCTGGTGAGTCCCTTCCTCCTGCTCTAAAGTTCACTGGCTTGATCTTGCACAGATCTGGTGCAGGCAACCTCTGCTGCTGTGAGTTCATGAGTGGTACTGTCATGTCCAGAAGATGCCCTTTGTTCCAGTCCTCCTTGATCTCTGGCTTTTACAGTCTTTCTGCCCTCACTTCTGTGATAGTCACTGAGCCTTGTGGTCAGGGGTGTGTGATACAGTTGTCCCTTATGTGGCTGAGCCCTCCACTGATGCTTATTCTCTGCACTTTGAGCTTCAAACCAGAGCTTCTTAAACTTTTTCCACTTGTAACTCTTAGCCCTAGAAATTTTTACATGAACTGGTTTATAAAATAGGTATATAAGTCCAACATTTACTGGTAAGAAATCAAAATTGTTGTTTTTAATTCTTTGGTATACATATAATTTTACCATTTATTAAAGGTGAAAGCACATTTGCATATGAAAGAGATGTATGTACTTGCTTAATTTTACATAAAGAATCAGATCTTGGTTGATGCTAATACTTCAGAAAACAGAGCATCAATATTATACCAGAATTGATCCATATTTTGATTTTACAGTCACCAGTACTGAGAACACTGCTTTACATAAATACTTAGTGCCAAATGGTAGAAATATCTTTACAGCCATTTCAGAAGCTGTTAGAAGAAATTCTATTCTAATTCTAGGACAAAATTCACTTAACAGTTCTTTTCAATGAAGTTCAAATCATCAATTCAAGCAACAATTTTAAAATGTTTTAACACAATCCAAACATAAACTAATTAAAACTTAGATGCTGAGGAATGAAGGTAGGAAAATCTCAGTCTTTGTTTTCTATAATTAAACCATTATGTCTATAACAGCAGAAAACTTTACATATATGGTAAAAACAGTACAGTTTATAATATAAAGTAGTCTCAAATCTGAGCTGAAGTATTTCAGATGGCGTTCATTGGTAGGACATGGTGTGATGGCATGCTCAGTGTTAAATATGTATTTTGTGTGTTCGGAGCCACGGGTGCAGTGAAGACTCACAGTACAACACAGGTGAGTGCTGCCGGAAATGCCTCAGATTTATTACGTGTTTGATTTCGGATTACTTTTGTGCATTCTGAACCTTTCACTGGTGCCAAATTTTCTGCACCTCCTACATTCAGTTGTCCTCCTCGTATGGGGTCATAGCACATCTGGTGGAGAGAGGAGGCAAGCTTTCTCTTGCCTCTTGTCTCCTGTGAGGATACTAATTCCATCACAAGGGCTCCATAGTTCGCCATGGCCCAAAGGCTCCAATTCCAAATACCATCACATCCTGAGTAGAGGGTCAATGAAAATTTTGGGACATCACAAATACACAGTGCTTCGCAACTTCTGATCCTGAAATGGCTATGAAATGTAGATTTAAACATCAGCAATCAGCATGTAAGGAAGGCAGGGGGCTTTTTTTTTTTTGTTTTGTTTTGTTTTTTGGCAATATGTCTAATGTGTTTGAATCAAGACTCCGATTTTCTCCTCATAGAAAATACAGCAAAGTAACAAAATGAAGCAAAACCAAAAAACTAAAAATCATCAGTAATCTACCACCCAGAGATGACAAATTTGTAATATTTTCTGAAAAAACTGTGATCATATTAGCCTAGAGATCAGCACTTGAGCATTTACAAAAAATGCCAAAGCATTTTCTGTACGTGCTTATTTATAGAGAGCACTATCCTTCTCCTTTCCTGTTTTCTCCCCCCCCCTTTCTCCCATCCCTTCATAGTTTTGTATTTCTAAAAATTCAAGTGAATGCAAAGATTGAACAGTTTAACACATCTCATGTGTGTATTGTCCAGGATTAGCCCATCTTTTGGCCCATCTTCATCTTCTCTCTTTCTATACCTCTTATGCTGGACAGCTTCAGTTGTCAACTTGACACACTTGGGGAGAGGAAACCTCAACTGAGGTATTTCATTAGATTGGCCTGTGGGTATGCTGTGATGTGGGAGGGACCAGCCCATTGTGAGCAGTGCTACTCCTGGCCTGGTAGTCCTAGGTTGTATAATACAGCAGGCTTGGGGCTAGAGAGATGGCTCAGTGGTTAGGAGCACTGATTGCTCTTGCAGAGGTCCCTGGATTTGATTCCCAGTACCCATGTGGTAGCTAACAACTGCCTGTAACTCCAGTTCCAGGCAATCTGGTACCCTCTTTGACTTCCTCCAGGATTGCGTGATATGAGTGCACTTACATACATGCAGGCAATAGACTCATACATATAAAATAATAAAACTTTTTTTTTTTTTTTTTTTTGTTTTTTTGAAGCAGAGTCTCCTTGTAGCCCGGGCTCCCCGGGAATCCACTTTGTAACCCAGGCTGGCCTTGAACTTACAGAGATCTGCCTGCCTCTGCCTCCCAAGTGCTGAGACTACAGGCATGCACCACCACACCCGGCTATATATAAGATATTTTTTAAAAAGAGAGAGAAAGCAGGCTGAGCACAGGCCAGTGGGAGCAAGCCAATAAGCAGCATTCCTCTGTGCTCTGTGCTTAGCTCCTGCTTCCAGGTTCCTGCCTTGAGTTCTCCCTGACTTCCCTCAATGATGGACTGTGATTAGGACATGTAAACTAAATAGAACCTTTTCTCCCCATGCTGGTTTTGGTTAGTGTTTGATCACAGCATTAGAAAGCTAACTGGGACATCTCTCCTCCCTCAACCT